TTTTCTAATTGCGCATGCCTCAAAAGTACAGAAAATGGCAATTATTCCCCACAAATTTGCGTGACCAAATCAGTGATATTTTGAAATGTACCTATTTTAAATGAGAAAACTGGCGAATTGTGTCTTTTCGTTCACTTAAAGTCAGAAAAAAACCCAACATATGAATCAAAATTAACATGTATTTATACTAAAGTAATACGAAAATTACTACAAAAAATGTAGACACCAAGGCACACTACCACAGGCGGGACTGGCCACAGCGGACCGAGTTCTCTGTGGGGAGGAACAACGTCAAGTGGGAGCCACTGGTGGACCCCCGGAAGGTGCTGATGCCACCACTGCACATCAAATTGGGCCTTATGAAACAATTTGTCAGAGCTGTAGATAAGGAGTCGGCAGCCTTTAAGTACCTTCAAGACTTCTTCCCTAAGCTGCCTGAGGCAAAGGTCAAAGCTGGACCACAGATAAAGAAGATTCTGGAGTGCAATGAATTCCCCAAGAAGCTCACTAGTAAGGAGAAAGCGGCTTGAAACAGCTTTGTCGCAGTGGTTCGTGGCTTCCTGGAAAATCAAAAGGTCGAAAACTATGTGGAGCTGGTTGAGACTGGTGAAGAACTATGGCACAATGGGCTGTAGGATGTCCCTCAAAGTCCATATCCTTGATGCTCATCTTGATAAATTCAAGGAGAACATGGGAGCGTACTCGGAGGAGCAAGGTGAACGCTTCCACCAGGATATACTGGACTTTGAATGCCGCAACCAATGACAGTATAACGATAACATGATGGGAGACTACATTTCGGGGCTGATTCGTGAAATTGATTTACAGTATAATCGTAAATCTCGAAAAACTACTCACTGTTGCAGTAATTTTTGTATTACTTTAGTATAAATACATGGAAATTTGTATTCATATGTTTTTTTTTCAGACTTTATGTGAACGAAAAGACTCAAATTCGCCCGTTTTTTCATTGAAATAGGTAAACTTCAAAATATCACTATCCTGGTCACAAAAGTAAATTTGTGGGGAATAATAGCAATTTTCTATACTTTTTAGGCATAAGCAATTACGAAATAACACTGACTACCCAGGAACAAAAATTGTGTTACATAGTGTTATCAGTGGCGTAGTAACTACATTATCAGTGGTGTAGTAACTACATTATCAGTGGCGTAGTAACTACATTATGTGGCGTAGTAACGACATTATCAGGGGCGTAGTAACTGCATTATCAGTGGCGTAGTAACGACATTATCAGTGGCGTAGTAACTACATTATCAGTGGCGTAGTAACTACATTATCAGTGGTGTACTAACGACATTATCAGTGGCGTAGTAACGACATTATCAGTGGCGTAGTAACTACATTATCAGTGGCGTAGTAACTACATTATCAGTGATGTACTAACGACATTATCAGTGGCGTAGTAACTACATTATGTGTGGTGTAGTAACTACATTATCAGTGGCGTAGTAACTACATTATCAGTGGTGCAGTAACTACATTATCAGTGGCGTAGTAACTACATTATTGGTGGTGTAGTAACTACATTATCAGTGGTGTAGTAACTACATTATCAGTGGCGTAGTAACGGCATTATCAGTGGCGTAGTAACTAAATTATAATAGTTACGACATTATCAGTGGCGTAGTAACTACATTATAATAGTTACGACACCACCGATAATGTCGTCACTATGCCACTGCCTCCATTGAAACTTCGCTTCGTCGTCGGTTGTTCACTCTCCTGTGCTGATCCCTCCCCCGAGTCTGGCACTCTCTCCCATCAACCAATCAGTGCTGTCGACTCCCTGCCGCTGGTCAATCACAATTAGATTCTCTTCTAGCCGTGACAATCTTTTTTTTACAAAACAACAACGTACATTTGTAATGCGCCCTTAACTTAAGACGTCTCAGAGAGCAGGAACGCACATGACGAAGGGACGAGAAGGGAACAAGAGGGAAGGAACAAGGGAAGGAGAGAAAGGAAGAGTGGAGGGGTCCGTGCGTTGGGGGGGGGGGGGTCGTGGAGGGAGGGCGGGGGGGCTAAATACATAAATAACCATACTTCGCTGGAATGTCGCAGGGTTGCACTGTTGTGTCGTCCAGCGCCTTGAAACGCAGTAGCATTTATATGCAACATAAATCTAAATTCTATTGCAAAATATTTAGTGGTTAAACCTCACCTGCAAGAAAAAACATACGGCTACTTCATATAAATACATACAGATATATACACAACACACAGTCGTGTGTTTAACTCTCACCCATATGATAACACCTGTTTTACTATTCACGATTATTACGATGATGATGAGATTCAGAAATTAGAGACGGGCCCGGAGCATGCCTCCTGAAATGAAAGCCGACAGAAGAAGGCCTTGGTCCGCAAAGGCCACACAGACGGCCGTTTGGTTGTCTACAGCGAGTATCCGGCAAGGCCTCTCGGACTCTCTACGGCGTGTAACTAAGGGCACAGCGATCAACCCTTGCAATTGCCAGATGACGTCAATGCTCGCGGGGCCTCCACTGCATGCGAATTCTGGAGGGGGGTTTTGGCCTCCTCTTTCGCGTTGACCAGACGTGTTGGAAGAGGCGGGCCTACCCACACTCTTCACCACTTGCGACCTGCCTGATAGACTGTGATGGTAACTCGCCCCTCCCCCATCATACCAATGGGTGAGGGGAGATTTAAGAAACTCGCTCCATCGTCTCAACTTGCCGCGCCGGGAGGTGGCACCGGCGACCTGGCTTGCGAGTCCCGCTGTGCTGACCGTGACACCACGAGCGGCTCCCACGCCGTGCGTGGACGTCAGTCGGTTCATGAGCGGTCAAACTATCGCCAGACCCGTGGGGCCGGGGGGAGTCCTTAAAGTTAAGAGGTCAACACTTGGCAGTGTCAGTGATGCTGCCACATGTCGCCGTCGCTTCCTTCCTTCTGCTAGATTACGTTCAGAAAGCATGACATCATAAACACGTGCACGACGCATTTGATTTCCCTATCTCACTTATACGCTACTTCATTAAAACTCCAAAGACAAAGATCCCCCGTATAGTCTTAACAGACTGTTGGGGCAAGTGCTGTTAGCGAGCACCTATGAAGGCCGGAACGGCGAGTAGCACTACGCCCGGCCGTCTTTGACTTACCAGTGGCGATGTTTACACACCGCAGCAGGTACTCATTTGAGGCTGAGTCGACCTAGGGGAGGCCTAGGACCGGTTCAGATAATCGTCACTGGTGATAGCCGTGGGCGGGAATCAAACTCGGCTTGCCGGGTTCGCAGCGCAGTGCGCTAACTGCTACAGCACCGCTCCCCACAGGTGCTCAGTACACGCACACCCACACACAGCACGAAGTGTGTAGCACACAGCAGGACACGGTACATCAATCACCAACTCCACACACACAGGATACACCTCAGTCATTGTAGACTGCAGAACAATGCACATCATGATCCGAAGCTAAACGTTTAAACCATTCCAGGATTAACGCGGTAACTTCACCATCAATATCATCACTATCACCGCCACTGTCATCACTCATCATCATCACTACTGGTTTGATCTTCCACGAAGCTCATGGTCCATCCTAAACCACATACGCGCAAACCATGACATATATGGATACCCGATCCACAAATACGAAGGAGACATCACAGCGATGATAATACACTCCGCAACTCCTGACGCGGTTATCTACCTTGATAACCGCGTGAATGTGAAATTGTAGTTGATGCTCTGCATCTACATCAGCAGCCGTACAAAAGACGGACATTATCATCCAACTGAGGCTGGTAACATGAATCTCGCCTTCTGAATCTGCGCGTCTTTGCACAGCGAAGTCGAGTTCATACTTGGTCCCGCCATAGGAACGAGGAATGTCCATTGCAGATGAGCCCTGCACAGTTGCTGATGAGACACCGCCTGTCGAAACCAGTGCAGAGTTTTTCTTGTCTTGAATCAATGTTGCTGAAATGATGCACTCCCAAAAGGTCGCATGGCTGACGGGCTGTGTATGTATAACTATGATTGTTTGAGGTGGAGAGACGGACACGCGAAGGACACATTGCTTATTATTTTCTGCTGTTATTGATATGACTGCTGCTGGGGGCGAGATGTTAACTAGCTCGCCTGGTAAACAGGAGGTCGTGAATTCGATCCTGATCTCGACCCTGATGTCTGCTGTATATTTGGAGTGTGTATGTCTCTCTCCTCGTGGTCGCGTGGCTTTTCCTCCGGGTCCTCCGGGTTTCCCCTCTACATTAGAACCAACAACACGCGTTTAGAGTATTTGGCTGCTATACATTTCCACGTGATAATAAGCAACTTCGCTGAGCTTTCATTTGTGATAGCCGTGCAGCTTCTGAAAAGGAGCTACGTTAGCGCAGTGGACCTTACCTGGTCAAATAAAAATTGTTTAGTTTTAGCTGCTGCTACTACTGCTGTTGGTGTTCGTACTTCCACTCTTGCTGCTACGGGTGCAGCTTCTGATGCTGGTATTCTTAATTCGAATTATTATTGTTAATAATTATTACTCCTAATTTCAGTTATCCAGAGAAGCCACAATGAGTCCCATGATTATTTTTTCACTTTCGCAATAGGGCGATGGCGATGATTGCGAAGTATAATTAGGTCGACTCAGCCTCAAATGGCTACCTGGTGCGGTGTGTAAACATCGCCACTGGGGAAATGAAGGCGACCGGGCGTGGTGCTGGCCACTCACCCACCCACCCCCTCATGTGCCCTTGCCGGGCCTCACACGTGCTGATATTCGCTAACAGCACTTGCCCCGACAGTGCGTTACAGGCCACGCGGGTTGATCGTCGTTGCGCAATGCGGACTGAGTAATGCTGCTGCTGCGGTGGTGAAGGACGCTGTGGGGAGCTCGACGGTCCCCTTCGCGGAGCAGGCGGCGCGTGGTGCGTTTCGGAGCTGTGCGCCGTGAAATGAGAGTCAGCTCGCCTGTTGATGCTCCTCCCCGCGACCCACCCACCCGTTCTCGGAGCACTGCAAGTAATCTGCCTTTGAATGAAATGGTGAAATGAGGAGGTAATGCGTGTTCCGAATATGTAATTATATCCTCCAGGATTTCAAGGCTGTTCCGGCGAAATAATAACTTGAATAGGAGAACAAATTGTAAAGTAATAACAATGCTAAATTAATCGTGCTCGGTATTCTGTATTCCTTTCCCCCACCTCTTCTGTGCTGCTATTACTTTGATCATCATTGCCATTATTGTTATTATTAAATGTCTTCCGAACTTCATCTTCCGCCGTTTCCAATCAACTCAATGTGTATTTGTTCCACGGAAAATCTCGTTTAGCCAGTTACCCGTCAAGCTTGAGTGGCAACTGCCCTGCAGCAGCCGCTCACAACCGTGTCACTGTTGGGGTGGACAGAAGAACAGCCAGCAGCCAGCCAGGACACGAGAGGCGTCGATGTTGTTTAAGAGTCGTCTTAGTCATAGAGATGTCGCCTATTCTCGTCAAGTCTCACAAGCTAAGCAACTGTGAGCCTGTCTATGTGCTTGGATGGGCGACCACCATGCGCAACGGGTTGCTATCGGCTGCTGTGGAGCTACGTGGTGCTCAGCAGAGGGCAGTGCAGCTTCGTTTATTGGGTTGTACTGTGCTTCTAGGCTCACGTCCAAACTTTACAGCCCGCCTTCCCCAACGCGCACTGACCGGCGTGGTGAAGTATGGTCAACGAACCCTCACGACCCGTCGCATGGCGTGCGGCGATGGGGAGGGGCTCTCTCTTATCCAGCAGTGGACTGATCAAAGTGGCGGTAGGTATTGTGCAGCAGCTTCCGCTGCTTGTGGTGGTGGTGGTTATGACGATGCTATTGGAACAGATGGCCTGGTGCCGCTGCTCCTGCTGAGTTACGAACTCCGCTACTGGTAGTGACTCACACCGCCGCTACTTACAGGAGTACACGACTACAGCTGCTGCTGTTTACTCTGCGATCACCGACTGTGCTGCCGCTGCTGCAAGCGGCGCGACTATTGGCCACGCTATTGCTACTGCTGCTACAGATGCGGGTCAACGAAGACGCCTGTCGGCTCAGCGTTCCTGCATCGGCAGCGCCACCTGCCCCTGCGCGGATATTAAATCCCCGTCCGCTGCCTGAAGCAGATCGGCGGCGCACATCTGCTGCACTTGCAGCTGCTGCTCCTGCATTATCGCCTGCTGCTGGAGCTGCTGCTCCTGCTGCTGGGAGTCGCGCGGCTCCATGGGCCGTACGCGACAGCGGCGCGACGCAGCCACGGGAGAGCCGCACTGCGCGCAGCAGTGCAGGGCGCGCGCCAGGCGCTTCCTGAACTCTGCGCGCATGAGGCAGTAGAGCACGGGGTCCAGGCAGCTGTTGGCGTGCGCCAGGCATACGGTGGCGGGGAACACGTAGGTGTGCGCCGTGTAGAAGGCGCTGCCGAAGGGCACGGCATTGTGCTTGACCAGCACGCCCCACAGCGTCACGGCGTGGTTGGGCAGCCAGCAGAGGAAGAAGGAGAGCACCACGACGGTGATGGAGAGCGTGACGCGCCACTTGCGGCGCTCGCCCGGCACGCCGTGGCACCGCAGGTAGCGTAGCAGCAGCAGGTAGCAGATGCTGATGACCAGCAGTGGCAGCGCGAAGCCGAGCAGCACCTTCTGCAGCTGGTAAAGGCCGAGCCAGAATTGGGCGGCGTCCTCCGAGCCGGGGAATCGAACGAGGCAGAGGACGTCGCCGGACACGGCGCGAGTGCTCGCGAAGACGGCGTGCGGGGCGGCGACGAGCGCGGCCGACAGCCAGATTAGGACGCACACCCAACGGGCCGCGGCCGACGTGGGCCTCGGCCGCGCGCGCATCGCTGCCGCGATGTAGCGGTAGCGCGTGACGCAGATGGCCGTGAGGAAGAAGACGCTCGCGTACATGTTCATGAGCGTGGTGGCCGACACGAGCTTGCACATGAGGCGTCCGAAGGGCCAGCTGTAGTCCAGCGCCACGTCGGCCGCCCAGAAGGGCAGCACCAGGACGAAGTGGAAGTCGGTGAGCGCCAGACCCAGCACCAGAGTGTTCACGGCCGACTTGCGCCATCGTTGCTTGGCGCGCATCAGCAGCACCACGATCAAGTTGCCCAGGAGGCCAGCGCCGCACACGAGGGAGTAGACGGCGGAGATGGCGATGCGCAGCCCTGCCGAGCCGTCCGCCGCCACGTCGATGTCGTACAGGGTCAGGTAGCGGCGCGTCACGTTCGCGTCTCCGCCGAACAGGCGCGTCGCGTTCATCTTTGCTCGCGAACTCTCGGCGCCCGAGTGGTCGTGGGTTTTTCTTCGAACCGAGTGATGATGATGGCGATGATGCTGTTGATGGTGGTGGTCGTGGTTCGAACGATGCCGAATTCGTAACGCTGATTATTCGAGTGTTGCTAAGTGTGAATGGTGATGATCTGCAAGTCGATCTGTCGAATATCAATTGTTCCAACGACGGCGAAACAAATGTCGACGATTAGAATGGGAATGTTTTAATCCGACGAATGATGTGTGTTGGTGATGCGAATGCTGATGGTTTAAAAGTCGAGCATTTCTTTTCCAATAACTCGAACCCGAATGATGCAAATCCCGATCGTTGGAGCGCTGATTTCCAATGGTGTCGATCCGATAACTATTCGATTAAACCCGAGCGCCGTTGCCCGACCCATTGCGCTGAACTTGTGCCCGATAACGCCACCTCAGCTTGCCACTCGACTCCTTGTTCAGCCCTCGGTTTACTTCCCGACTAGCCACGCACCGAGACGCACGCTGCCACCGTTACAATGTCGGTGCCCAGTACCGTCTGCGTAGAGACGCGCCCAGCGAAGCGTGACAGAGTGAGCGGCTCGGAGCAGCGCTCGGCTCTTTATGAAGCAGACGCGACATTCAGAAATCTGCGGAAGCTCCCCACCACTACGAAGGCAGGCGACGACACTCGGGAGTGCAGGGAGAACGTCCGACGACGTCCGTGAGAATTAATCAATGAAGCTATCGTGACGTCAAATGTCCAATTCAGAGCTCTCGCAGTGAGCCGTGCACCCACCACCTCGCGCCCGCACCTCCGATTGGCACGAGTGGCTACGTACGGTGCGAAAGAAGTTCAACATATGTCAGATAATGCCCCCCCCCCCCCCTTAAGAAGATGACGCCACAGAACAACTCCTCGCAGTACTCGAATGGCGATTGTCATTTACGCGAGTGGGACGCTTCCAACGCGACGTGCCCTGCCAAGAGTGCATGTGCACAGCACGTCAATCAAACCACAGCGCACGCGATGGTATTAGCTCACGACATCTCACACACGCAAAGTGATAACACTACTCACTCAATGGGCACGTGACAACTCCAGTGATGCTCTTGAAGGTCTTGCAAAGATGAATCCGGAACGCACACGCAGTAGTTGAGCCCAAAATGTATCCAAAAGATCACGTTTCATCATCGCTCCATACCCCGTGCTGAACACTTACAGACACACGATGCCAATGTACAAGAGGACCGAGCGGTTCGCCCCTGCCGTGGAGTGCGACGCTCCAGCCGACCAATGGGAGAAGCCCGTTTACAAAGCGCCAGGTTTCGCCGTGAAATGGGTCCGGTGGATTCAGAATGTATAATTGGAAATTATTTAAAAGAAAAAAAACCCCTCAACATTGGCATGCCCATTTACATATAGTTTTAGTTAAATCGTCGTCTCCCACACACCTCCAGCTAGCATTGTTACCATGAAGGCGCGTAATGTATGATTCGTACACTCACAGTGGTAACTGGAGCAGCCTTCTGGATTTGAATCGCAAGCCTCGGGGTCAAGCAGAGATCTCCCTACCGCTGTGCCATGTCACCGCCCCGGCTACGCAACATATTTACTCAGACTGGAGGAATCCGATGAGCTATAAATCTATTTTTCACAGATGTCCAGTAGGGTGTACTCAGCCTAAAATCACGCACAGTCATTAAAAATGAGGTGCGTCATGGTGCAATTTTTCCAAATTAAAAAATAAATACTTCTGGAAATTACTCCTAGTAATTATCCCCCCCAACCCCGACTGGCTGGCAGACTAATGCCCTTGTGCCCCACAGTGACAGCTGCTACTGGGGGTGCCCTTGGAATATTCTTATGGTTTTTCGGTAAAGTCACGTAGGTAAAAAAAAACTAAATTAATAAAAGTAAAATAAATTAAAAATAAAATAAAAATAACGACGTTTCGGAGGCAACACAAGCTTCCGTCTTCAGGTGGAACCGTCACCGGACGCTTGCTGTAATCAAGTAAACGAGAGATTCCAAGGGATACTACCCCGTATATATACTAGTTTAGGGGAGGGGGATGGGCCAGGACCGGCCCACTTTTATTATTATGGTAAGGTGCGGCTTGAGACTACGGATAGTCTACATAACAAAGGACTGAGCCTTTATTATGGTAAGGTGCGGCTTGAGACTACGGCTAGTCTACATAACAAAGGACTGAGCCTTTATTATGGTAAAGTGCGGCTTGACACTACGGCTAGTCTACATAACAAAGGACTGAGCCTTTATTATGGTAAGGTGCGGCTTGACACTACGGCTAGTCTACATAACAAAGGACTGAGCCTTTATTATGGTAAGGTGACAGTAGCTCAAGAATAGTTGTCTGTCAAATAAGATGGACACATCCATGCGGATGTAGCAAGAGCTGAAATAGCCACTATTCTTAAGAATGCTAAGAAACCCACTAGTAACATTAGCAAAAACGAACGCTCTGAACTCGCGGACCTAAAAAAGAGAGATGATATAGTCATCCTCTCGGCAGACAAGGGCAATGCCACGGTCATCATGGATAAAGATTCATACAACAACAAAATCCTGGACCTACTTGATGATGGGAGTTACTCCAAAATGAAAAACGATCCTACTAACAGCCTAACGACAAAAACTAACAAAATCATCACGAGTTCGACTTCCCTAATCGAACCAACCAAACGTTCCTCTCTAAAACCATCGGCGGCAAGACCTCCCAGACTCTATGGTCTTCCCAAGATCCATAAAGAAGGCACCCCGCTACGACCCATCGTGTCGACGATCAACTCTCCTACCTACAAACTAGCCCGGTTTCTATCAGATACTCTGCTTCCCTTCACAGGCAAGACCTCTTCGGCAGTACTCAACTCAACCCAATTAGTCTCTATGGTCAAGGACATGGTACTTTCTCCTGATGACATCCTCGTCAGTTTTGATGTAGTATCTCTGTTTACCAAAGTCCCAGTACCGGACACCCTAACAATAATTGAGGACTTGGTCCAACATGGATTGAATTCGGATGTACCTGCGCTGGTTAGGCATTGCCTCACCAACACTTATTTTACCTGGAATGGCACCTTCTACAAACAGAATGAGGGTACCCCTATGGGCTCCCCCTTGTCACCAGTGATAGCCAACATGTTCATGGAAAAGTTTGAATCAGACGCCATCCAGACATCCATCCTGCGTCCTTCCCTGTGGAAGAGGTATGTGGATGACACTTTCGTCATTTGGCCACATGGCCTCCCAGCATTGAACCACTTCTTGGACCACATCAATTCCAGACACCCATCCATCAGATTCACCATGGAAGTGGAGAAAGATGGTAAACTACCATTCTTAGATATTCTGTTTGAGAGGAGACCTGACGGATCCTTGGGACATTCTGTCTACAGGAAAGCCACCCACACAGATTCCTACTTGAAACCGGATTCCCACCACCACCCATCTCAAAAGAATTCTCTCATCAAAACGCTATACCACAGAGCTCATGGCATTTCTGACCAACACCACCTGTCCAGTGAATTAAGACATGTACATCGGGCCCTCAGGATGAATGGATACTCTGACCGCACCATCCGCCAAGCTGTTTCTCCCACCATACAGAAACAGCCACATGAAACTCCGATCAAAACTATCACGTTGCCATACATAGCAGGCGTGAACAAAAAGATCTCCAACATTCTAAACAAACATAAGATCCAAGTCCTATTCAGTACAGTGCATAAAATCCGTGATCTGATTCCATCTGTGAAGGATGTCGTTCCTGACTTACAGTATCCTGGAGTCTACAAGCTGAGTTGCAGTTGTGGTGATTGCTACATTGGAGAAACGAAACGTCATGTCTCTGATCGTGTCCGCGAGCACAAGTCAGATTTGAAACACGGCAGAACTGATTCTTCGGCCGTTGCCGATCATTGCTACAACTCTGTGGGCTCTCATGAAATTGTCTTTTCCGAGACCAAGGTACTCTGCAAACCTCCTGGCTACCATCAAAGGTTTGTACACGAAGCCATACAAATATACAAACACAGACATAATTTCAACCGTGATGATGGGTACAAACTGAGTAATCATTGGAAAGATGTGATTAACCATGCAAAAAAGATTTAACTACACATATTTGGACCATCTTATTTGACAGACAACTATTCTTGAGTTACTGTCACCTTACCATAATAAAGGCTCAGTCCTTTGTTATGTAGACTAGCCGTAGTCTCAAGCCGCACCTTACCATAATAAAGGCTCAGTCCTTTGTTATGTAGACTAGCCGTAGTCTCAAGCCGCACCTTACCATAATAATAAAAGTGGGCCGGTCCTGGCCCATCCCCCTCCCCTAAACTCGTATATATACGGGGTAGTATCCCTTGGAATCTCTCATTTACTTGATTACAGCAAGCGTTTCTGTGACGGTTCCACCTGAAGACGGAAGCTTGTGTTGCCTCCGAAACGTGATTTTTATTTTTATTTTCTTTTTATTTTATTAATTTAGATTTTTTTACCTACGTGACTTAACCGAAAAAACCTAAGAATATGAATACTTGCAGTCACGAAAGCTTCAAATCTAGAAGTAATGCCCTTGGAATGTTTGAGATGAGCCGTGATGTAAGGCGCTTTGCGATGGTGAGTAATATACGTGCCATATAAGGGCTGGGGAGGAGTAGAGGGGGGGCTGGGGAGGAGTGGGGGGGGCTGGGGAGGAGTAGAGGGGGGGCTGGGGAGGAGTGGGGGGGGCTGGGGAGGAGTAGAGGGGGGGCTGGGGAGGAGTGGGGGGGGGGGGGCTGGGGAGGAGTGGGGGGGGGGGCTGGGGAGGAGTGGGGGGGGGGGCTGGGGAGGAGTGGAGGGGGGGGGGAGGAGTGGGGGGGGAGGAGTGGGGGGGGGTTGGGGAGGAGTGGGGGGGGGCTGGGGAGGAGTGGAGGGGGGGGAGGAGTGGGGGGGGGGCTGGGGAGGAGTGGGGGGGGGGCTGGGGAGGAGTGGAGGGGGGGAGGAGTGGGGGGGGGGGGAGGAGTGGGGGGGGGGGGGGAGGAGTGGGGGGGCTGGGGAGGAGTGGGGTGGGGGGGAGGAATGGGGGCTGGAGAGGAGTGGGGGGGGGGGCTGGGGAGGAGTGGGGGGGGGAGTGGGGAGGAGTGGGGGGGGCTGGGGAGGAGTGGGGGGGGGCTGGGGAGGAGTGGGGGGGGGAGTGGGGAGGAGTGGGGGGGACTGACTGGCCCTTGACCTCATTGCTGCCTCTACACGACTCCTGGAGACGGGTGGGGGGGGGTCTCTGCACAATGCCATTTCATTCCCAGAAAGTCGTGGAAGCAATCGCCGTCGCTTCTGAGTTAAACGCCGCAACTCGTCCATGAGCGACTTTACGCCTCGCTCCGGTGGTGGGACAGCAGCTCACACGGATCCCCCCCCCTCTCTCTCTGTTGGACGTTCACAGCACGACGTGATTCCTGACTCATCTGGGTAACATTTAGAATCAACTCTTTGGTTCTTTCGGTAAAGTCACGTAGAAAGAAAAAATAAATTAAATAATAGCATACGACGTTTCGATTGCAACACAAGCAATCTTCATCAGGTACAAATGAAAGAGAAAACAAACCTAGTAAACTTATAAATGTAATGCAATGCAACACAAAGAGTCGGTCAACACACAATTAATGCATAGCCTGGTTGATTACGTTCTTCCAAAGATTGCTAAATTAGAATTTAAGATGGAAACAATACTGTAAATCACTTTCACGAATCAGTCCCCAAATGTAGTCTCCCATCATGTTCTCGTTATACTGTCCTTGGTAGCGGCGATCAAAGTCCAGTATATCCTGGTGGAAGCGCTCGCCTTGCTCCTCCGAGTACGCTCCCATGTTCTCCTTTAATTTATCAAGATGAGCATCAAGGATATGGACTTTAAGGGACATCCTACAGCCCATTGTGACATAGTTCTTCATCAGAGTCTCAACCAGCTCCACGTAGTTTTCGACCTTTTGATTGCCCAGGAAGCCACGAACCACTGCCACAAAGCTGTTCAAAGCCGATTTCTCCTTACTAGTGAGCTTCTTGGGGAACTCATTGCACTCCAGGATCTTCTTTATCTGTGGTCCAATGAAGACAC